TCTACTTTTTTCTTCATGCTTTGGTGCAAAGTTCCTAACAGGTGTTTCTTTGGATAAAAAACCTAATCAATCTCTGTATGATTCTTTTTATGCTTAATTTTTCTTTCAAAATTAATTCTTATTGGAGCATTCCACTATTTAGATTTGATTGTTAGGTAAATATGATCGGGTGAATTGTGATTTGAGAAAGAGGACTAGCTCATGATCAACCTCCAAAAATCTAAAGTAAGGTTCCTCTTACAAATTTCATTTTCTTATTTTAGTAAATTTGTACACTTGTTTGGTATTGTTAATTCTAGATATATAATTTTGTAGAAAAGCCTTAATCTTGGGGCATTTCTTTGGAATCAATATGTGTCTTTTTTCTTTTCATATTTCCATACAGAAGCCCTCATTCTTCTTTTATAATTGATGCTAAATATTGGAAAGTTCTGATTTTTTGTTTGTATTGTCATGTAAGTTTGATTGAGAGAATGGTGATCTAAGATATATAGAGGAGTGGCTCATAATCAACCTTTGCTCATTTCCTTTGTAGGTTTTGGGCTCATATAGTGATGGCATATGTCTTTTCATTTTGGACTTGTCGTGTTCTACTTAAAGAGTATGAGATAGTTGCATCAATGAGATTGCATTTTCTTGCTACAGGAAAACACCGTCCAGATCAGTTTACTGTATGCTCTTAGATTGATACTTTCAAAAAGAATTTACTTGCTTACGGTTTTGTTGTTGCGGATAGGGTTTATCATACGAGCACTTCTGAGTTCTCAGTTGTAATTTCTTTACATCGAGGATACTTCTCTTCTCATATGCTATTTAGTTTGCAGCTCTTTGTATTTTTTTCTTATTAACATTTCTCTTGGTATATCAAAGACCAAATTGACTATGTAATTGTCAAACATTTCTCTTGGTATATCAAAGACCAAATTGACTATGTAATTGTCAGTTGTACCTGCTCTGTTTATATAGGATGATGTTTGAGCATGCAAAGACCAAATTGACTATGTAATTGTCAGTTGTACCTGCTCTGTTTATATAGGATGATGTTTGAGCATGACTTATGAGTTGAAATCAAGGTTTACAGAGCTACATTTTTAATGCACAACACATGGAATTGCTACTTATTTGCTCTGGTATCAACTTATTCTCACTTTGGTACGTGTGAAATACGAAACAAGCCTCAAGCGTTTTCCAACCTGCATATCTATGAAATATGCAACAATGATGATTTATTTAGATGTTTTTTTGTAAGATACCTGATATGTTTGTAGAGTTTTCTTCGTTTTTATTTTGCTGAAAGTCTTGCAAGTTATGGTGGGTAATGAATTTGAAAACTTAGCAGATATAGCTATCATCGCCAAAATTAGCTAAATTTTTGTTTTTTGGTTACTATTTTACACATCTCCATTGCATTTGATGTAAAGAAGACAGGTTAAGAGAATAAATATTTATCAATTTTAAATTTAAATTCATGTATAATAAAATATCCAAACACTAGAATTTGAAATCAAAGATTTTAAATCCTTTCATTTAATAAACATATCCAAACAAAAGATTTCTTAAATCATGGATTTCAAATCCTAAATTTAAAATCCCTTGATTTTAAATCAACTTTCCAAATCCAAATCAAAGTTTCGAAACACAGCCTTAGGAAATTCAACAAAAGAAACAAATTTGTAATTCTATTTTCAGATGGGATCCAGATTCAAACTTCTTACCGCACATTAGAAGCAGGCAGAGATTACTATCCACCACCACCACCAGTGATGGTCAGACGAAGACGCCCCTGTTGGTGTTGAGGAAGCGGGATGGATTGAGAATGGAGGAAATAGGAGGAAAAATAAGAAGAGGCTAAGAACTTGAGGAAACTTTGTATGAATTGCTTCAAAGCTTGATTACAAAGCTTACATTCAAGGCTATTTATAGCCTCACAAGGAATTCTCTAGAATATTTAGATTTTTCATGATACATCAAAATTCTAGAGAATTCTATATAATTCTATATACATCCATGCTTAATATTTTTTCTTCCTAGATTATTCTAGATATTTCTACTTTACATACTTTTTTACAAATATCCTAGAGTTTTCTAGAATTACAAATTATCTTCTAACACCCCTCCTTAATTTGTAATTCTCAACTCATTTCTAAATAGTATAAACTTATTGAAGGGTAATGCTTTTGTGAAGATGTGTGCTAACTGTTTATTTGTTAAGATGAACTCTAGCTCGATCTCCTTATCTTCAACAAGCTTCCTGATGAAATGGTGACGAATCTCAATATGTTTGGTTTAAACATGGAAGACTGAATTCTTTGTCATGGCTATTGCAGACTTGCTGTCACAATAGAGAGTAGTCGGTGACTCTTGGTCTTGTTGTAAATCAGATAAAATCCTTCGAAGCCATACTGCTTCGCATGTGGCATTTGTAGCTAAAATATACTCTGCTTCTGTAGATGAGAGAGCTATGATCTGTTGTTTCTTTGAGGTCTAGGATATTACCTTAGATCCCAGAGTGAAGACATATCCTGAAGTGCTTTTGCGATCATCAATGCATCCAGCCCAGTCGCTGTCAGTGTAGCCAGATAATGCATTGTCTTCTTCTGTTGTGTATTTGATTCCCATACTCTTTGTTCCTTGAAGATATCGAAGAATCTTCTGTTGTGTATTTGATTCCCATACTCTTTGTTCCTTGAAGATATCGAAGAATCCGCTTCGCTGCTCTATAGTGTAGCTTACTTAGATTTCTCATGAATCTGGACACAATGCTTACAACATACAATATGTCTAGCCTAGTGTTTGTGAGGTAGATTAGCGATCCGACTAGGCTTCTGTAACTTGAGGCATCCACCTTTGGCGCTCCATCGTTCGCTGATAGCTTTTCATTTAGCAATGCTGGTGTAGCTACTGGATTGCAATTCTTCATGTTGAACCTCTTCAGGCAATGCTGGTGTAGCTACTGGATTGCAATTCTTCATGTTGAACCTCTTCAGAAGATCTTCGCAGTATTTCTCTTGATTGATGAATATTTCTCCTTCAGTTTGTTTTACTTGTAGTCCCAGAAAATATCTCATCAATCCTAAATCTGTTATCTCAAAATATTCTTTCATCTTTCTTTTAAATTCTTCAATCATCATGGTGTTAGTACCACAATAAATTAAATCATGAACATATAGGCGAACGATAAGGAAGTCTGCAGCTTTTTTCTTCACATATAGAGATGGTTCACTCGGGCTCCTTTGAAATCCATTCTCGTTAAAATAGCTATCAATTTTGCTATTCCAAGCCCGCAGTGTTTGTTTCAACCCGTATAGTGCTTTGTGCAACCGATAAACTTTGTTTTCTTCTTTCTTGACTATGTAGCCCTGTGATTGCTCGACATAGACTTCCTCTTCGAGTTCTCCATTTAGGAATGCTGACTTGACATCTAGCTGAAATACTTTAAGCTTGAACTGTGCTGCTATAGCCAATACCGTCCTTATGGTCTCCATACGAGCAACTGGGACAAATGTCTCATTAAAGTCGACTCCTAGTTGCTGAGAGTAACCCTTCGTGACTAATCGAGCCTTGAGTTTCTGAATGGAGCCATCTTCATTGTACTTGGTTTTGTATATCCACTTAAGGCCAATGACCTCCTTTCCTTCTGGAAGATTCACCAGCTCCCATGTTTTGTTCTTCTCGATCATGTAGATTTCTTCATCCATTGCTTTTCTCCAGCCTTCATCTTGAATGGCTTCTTCAAATTTCTGTGGTTCACAGGAGAAGAATGCTACGTCCCAGGAGTCATAAATATCTTGAAGTGAACGCACCTTTTTAGGCGGTGAATCTGTGTCTGAAGTTGATGCATCTGAGGATCTTAGACTAGGAGAATCTTGATATGATGTGGCTCCCCTCGTTTCTTCTTCAATGATGCTTGGTGTTGAGGTTTGATGAGGTTCACCGTTCCATGTTCCTGTTTCATCGAAGATAACATCTCTGGAGACCACCAATTTGTTAGTATCAGGATTGTATAATCTGTAGGCTTTGGATTCTTCACTGAAGCCAATAAAGATGAGTTTTTCTCCATTTTCATCAAACTTTTCCTTCCTTAGTTGCGTTGGTTTATGTGCATAGGCAATGCAACCAAATACCTTAAAGAAATCCACTTTCGCCTTTCGCCTATACCAAGCTTCATATGACGTCTTGTCTGGCACAGCTTTTGTTGGTGATCTATTCAAGATGTAGACTGCTGTATATACTGCCTCAGCCCATAATTTGTTTGGAAGATTTTTACTTTTTAACATGCTCCTCGCCATCTCCACAATTGATCTATTTCTTCTTTCTACTACTCCATTTTGTTGTGGAGTGTACCTTGTTGTTAGCTCCTTTTTAATTCCATGTTTTTTACAAAAATTTTGAAATTCATTAGAAGTGAACTCTCCTCCATGATCAATTCTCAGAACTTTCAATTTGAGACCACTTTCCTTTTCTACAAGAGCCTTATACTCAATAAACTTTGAGAATACTTCTGATTTTGCTTTTAAGAAATATACCCACATCATTCTGCTATAATCATCAACAAATAATAAGAAATTTCTTCTTCCATTTAATGATGGGGTTTGTGTTGGGTAGCAAACATCAGAATGCACTAATTCTAACGGGGCTTTTGCTCTCCAAGATGTTTTAGTAAATGGTAAGCGATGCATTTTTCCATAAATGCATCCTTCACAAACTATTTCTTCTTTATTTATGTGTGGGAGTCCTATCACCATATTCTTCATTTTTAGTAAATTTAGACTCTTGAAGTTTAAGTGGCCATATCTTTGATGTCATAATAGAGAATCATTATTTTCTTGTGATTTGAGTGGAAGATTCTCTATTAACATTTTTAAGGGAAAAACTTTGTTAGGAGCCATTTTTATTCTAGCCACTATCTGCTTATTCTTATCATCTATTATCACACATTCATTCTTAAAGAAGTTGATTGCATATCCTTTTTGGATTAATTGTCCCACACTAAGTAAATTTTAAGTTAGCCCCGGAACATAAAGAACATCTGAGATGTATTTCGTCTTACCTCCCTTTGTCTGGACTGCTATCACTCCCTTTCCTTCAATGTTTTGTAATTTTTCGTCTCCAAGCTTTATTTGAGAGCTTGTTTCATCCTTCAACTCTACGAAGATGCTCTTATTTCCTGTCATATGATTATTGCATCCACTATCCAAATACCAAGTATCCTTTTCTTCTGATTGTGCATTAAAATATGAATAAAATAGGTCATCAGTTTCTACTTCTGTATAGTGGACTTTATTATTTTTCTGATACCAGCAATCTTTTTAGGAGTGATTAGCATTTCTACAGTTTGTGCATTTAAACTTACAGTTGTATGTGTTATGTCTAGACTTACTACATATTTTACAATAGGAGGTAGACTTACCTTTTGAGAAATCTTTATCTCTCTCATTAATTTTTCCTTGTCTCCTAAACTTTCTTTTATGGTAGTTGCCTCTTCCATCTTGTACTTTCTGAGAAAATCTTCTTTCTTTATTTTCTTTAGTTCCATCTCCTCCTTTCCTTGAAAATATTAGTTTTGACTGAAACGCTTGTTCCACCTCTTGGCTTGAAAATCTGTTTCTTCTAAGCTCATGTGACTCCAAAGAAGCCATTAGTTCATAAAAACTTAATTTTGATAAGTCTTTAGATTCTTCTATGGCAGCAACAATATAATCCCATGTAGGGGGAAGACTTCTTAGTATCTTCTCAACTATCTTCTTATCCTCTATTTTATCCCCATAGCTTCTAATTTGATTAATAATTGAGGTAATTCTATCAGAAAATTCTTTCACGGATTCATTATCTTTCATCTTTATGTTATCAAAATCTCTCCATAAAGATTGTAGTTTGATAGAGATTACCTTATCGGAACCCTTGAATTCTTGTTTGAGTATGTCCCATGCATCCTTTGATTTTGACGCGGACATTATTCGGGGAAAGATTGCTTTGCTTACCCCTTGTTGGATAAAGAGAAGCGCATTCGCATCCTTTTTCTTGTTCTCTTTCTACTCATTTTGCTTTGCTGGTGTCCATGATGCTAACATTGCTGAGTCATCTGGACCTTCATAGCCTTCTTCGACACTTTGCTGGTGTCCATGATGCTAACATTGCTGAGTCATCTGGACCTTCATAGCCTTCTTCGACAAGCTCCTAAAGTTCTTGAGAGATGAAGAGTGTCTTCATTTGGAGGCTCCAGAAGTCATAGTTTTCGCCGTCAAAAATGGGGACTAAGTTTTGAGAGTAATTGAAAAGAGAAGGGACAATTGCTGATGAGGCTGCCATTTAGAATGGTAGTGAAAGGTTAAATGCTTTCAAGATTGATTTGAGGTGAAAAAGGATGGCTCAGATACCAAATTTGTTGGCGTTGAGGAAGCGGGATGGATTGAGAATGGAGGAAATCAGAGGGAAAATGAGAAGAGGCTAAGAACTTGAGGAAACTTTGTATGAATTGCTTCAAAGCTTGATTACAAAGCTTACATTCAAGGCTATTTATAGCTTCACAAGGAATTCTCTAGAATATTTAGATTTTTCATGATACATCAAAATTCTAGAGAATTCCATATAATTCTACATAGATCCATGCTTAATATATTTTCTTCCTAGATTATTCTAGATATTTCTACTTTACATACTTTTTACAAATATCCTAGAGTTTTCTAGAATTACAAATTATCTTCTAACAGCCCCATCCATGACTAGAAGGTGAGCTTCACCTTCGAGCATAAATAATTGGGGTGTTACTGATTACGAGACTTGTGATTTTTGTATTTTGAGAGACGATGTACATGATTTTATTCATAGAGAGTTATATTTTGTTAAGATAGATAATTCTGCCTGGTCTCATTCAATGAATGGAGTTTATAGTATTTCCTGGTTTTCATATGTTAGTACTGATTATTGGCACTTGTTACTTGTTAGTTGGTCTTGAGACCTTTTTTTCTTCTTTTTTTCGTGATGTCATCCTCCATCGTCACTTTCTCAAACTATCCCCCCGAATCCTCAAAAGAAGGAACAGGTGACAGGAGCCTTTGATACTCTGCTCATCAACCTAATCTAATTAAAATGCTACGTCCTTGAAATAGAGATTGTCACATAACGAACTACCAAATCCACTACATAATGCGTTTGCAATTTTGACGCGCTTATTTTCTTGTCACTTGCGAAACCTATACTTGAACTGATTGTGATTTCGATTCCGATCAGAATTTTTTGGAGATAACTTTCAGAAGTGCATATGAACGAATAAATCGGCCAGTGAAAATTAATCCTACAGCAATCTTTGAACGTGTCAGAGAGGGGATCAGTGCTCCCGATGAGAAGGGTTTTGCAACAAGCTGTATAGCACAGTATGAATAGTAATTGGGTTGCATTTTTTTTATCTAGACTCATTTGACGTCAATTTTAAATGCAGTGAAATCTTTGAGATTATTTAATAAAATGTTCAGATGGCAGATGGAAAACAGTGCAAAGTTTGAGCTTAAATAGTTTTGGTATTTATTGGTGTTGAAATGAAAGAAATTAATGGAGGAAAAATCTCAATATTTCCATTGATTTTGGAGATAAGGGTTCATATGTGTCTTCTTCCTTCCCCCCCTACTTTTTTTTTAGAAAAATCTTCCCCCCCTACTTGTTCCATGGTTCAATGTAGGAGAATAAATTTATTTATTATTTAGCTTAATTAATATATTTTCATTCATTGGTAGCTGATTATTAGTTCTGTGATTATAAAAACAAGCACTTTCCGTCAAGCAAACTTGCTGAGAAGAAATCGCCCCCCCGCCCCTCAATTAATGCAGGTTAAATCGCGTGAAATGTACTTTTCATAGAAGTTTCTTCAAGTCAGCTAACAAATCATGGACTCCTTGACATCCACACGATTGAATAAGGGCTTGTTTGTTTTACTAAAAAAAAGGGAAATCAAAGAATGGAAAACTATTAAAATGAAGAATTGGTTTGGGAGTGTTTGGTTGGCTAAAAAAAGAAGGAAATCAAAAAAATGAAAATAAAATGATGTTAGTTGTCACATTATTATTGGATGATATGTGTAATTTTTTAAGAAAACTAGTTTTGATGTTGTTTGGTTGGCCAAAAAAATAAGGAAATGAATTATAAGAAACCTATTTCCTGTAGTTTGTTGTTTTCTTTTGTATGGTTCATTCTTAAAAATAAGAAATAAAATGAGATGAGATGAGTTGTCATTGTATTATTGAGTGATGTGATCCAAAATTAAGAAAGGTGTTTTCACAACTTTTTTGGATGAAAACAAAGAAATGAAATGTTAAGGGGCTGTTTGGTTGTTGTTGGTAAAGTTGTGTATTTATGACACAACTTGGAAAATTGTTGTCCATCTTATCAATTTTACTTTTATATTTTTCTTTGTTTGTTTTTGATTCCATTGGAATCATAAATTGCTTGTTTGGTTTGTAAATGTAACTTTAATTGTTTGTTTGGAAAGTGTAAAAAGTGGTCCCTACTCAAATGATCATATTGGTTGGAATTATTTTTTATTATTTTTTCGTGACTTCAATGTCAGCTTTCTCCTAAAATCATGTCTTTTTTTTTATGAAATCACTTTACAAGCCACATCAGCATATGAAATCACTTTACACTATTTTCACAACTACAAACAAACAATTGAAAGTGATGAAAGCTGACATTAGGACCCACTTTTTTACACTTTCCATCCTTTTACATGGTAAAAACATACAACCAAACAGCCCCTAATGAGATGAGGTGAATTGTTATAATATTTTATTAGATGATGTGAGTGATTTGAAATGATGAGAAGAGATGAGTTGAGTGATGTTTGGATGAAAATAATATTTTATTAGATGTGATGGATGAGTTGTTAGATGAAAATAATATTTTATTAGATGTGATAGATGAGTGGTTAGATGAAAATAATATTTTATTAGATGATGTGGATGAGTTGTTGGATGAAAATAATATTTTATTGGATGTTGTGGGTGAGTTTTAGGGATGGAAATGGAGGAAATAGTACATTTTGAGATTTTCACCATTTCCATTTCCATTTCTTGGTTTTTAGGAAATAACCAAACATACCCTAATAGAAAGGTGATGAAATTTCCAGAGTTTTTTTTACTTAGGCATGTTTGGCTATTTCCAAGAAAAAAACAGAAATAAAAAACCCTCTTTGGAAATGATTTCAACACATATCAAGAGGTTTCCCAGTTTTCTTTTATTTTATTTGTTTCGCAAAGAAACCTCCCCTTTTCACTGCCAAGTCACACAAAAAACAAAAAAGCCTCCATAGTAACAGTGCTTTTGATTTCCATTTCTTTAGTTTGTTTGACAAGAAGAAAAAGAAAAAGAGAAATGACCCATTAAAAAAGAAATTTATTCATCATGATACTCTCCAATAGTGTATTTATTAATTAAAAACTCATTGATGTGACATTTCCAAGTGTTTTCACAACTTTTTGTTGTGAAAACACATTTCTTGAAATGTGACATGGCATCCTAGGTGGCATCCCCATTTCCTTAAATAAAAAAATGAAACAAACATGTGAAATGGAAATGTGTTGAAACCAAAAGCTGATGTGGATGGGGGGATTTTCTCAAAGGTGACATGGCGGCGAGTTTTCTTTTTTTTTGGCAAGCAAACATATAACTATTAAACAGTTAAATCATACTAAATCCCGATAACTTACAACATTTTGCAGTAAACACCCATCAACTTTTAAAATTGCACAAAATCCCCTATAGGTTTCACATTTTGCTGAAAACCCCTAGTAAGTTTCTTCATTATGCAAATAAACCCCATAGTTGGAATTGAAAAACATAAAAAGGCATTTTTAAAGTTATTGGGGGTTTAGTGTGATTTACCAAAAGATATCGGGGGTTTTCTGCAGAAGTTATTGGGTGTTTAGTGAGGTTTTTAAAGTTATGTGGGGTTTCGTACGGAACACGAAAAGTTCTTAGGAGTTTAGTGTAATTTACCCTTATTTAATACTAAGAAAGCAGCCTAAATAAAAGAAATGATAGGAGCACACCCTTGTGCACACCACCAACCACACTCCCCCTCTATCTACAGTGCAGGGGCCCCACATGTGATTTTTTAAAAAAAAATCACATGTGGGGCCCCTACACTGTAGATAGAGGAGAAGTGTGGTTGGCGGTGTGCCCAAGGGTGTGTCCCTAACACCCCTCCCTAAATAAAGCGCTCTTAATTGAGTCAGTTGAATACACGGTCAAACAGTAAAATATTAGATGTCCAAATGGCCTCTGTTTTCTAACAAAAATAAGAATGAAATCTGACCGTTCTAAATAGAAAGAAGAACCATGACCTAGTCCTAGTCAGTCGCGGATCATTAAGAAAACCCTCATCAGAGCCTACCGAAAGAATGTATAAATAAAACTACATCCTTTTTTCCAAATTATAGGTTGAATGCGTTCCTATAAGGAAGCAAGAGCTATGAAGTTCTCGCCTCATTTCGGCCGCTACGTATTCATCTTCTGTATTCTCGTTGCATTTTATGTGCTTTCAGATGGCACAGCTCCTGCAGGTAAGGGTAGTCCTTACAGCTGAATGCCAAGGGAACTTCGAAAAATTAGCCAAAAATAATTTCAATTATTTTGTTTGCAGAGGGGATTAAAGTTCAAATCTCTCGACGTGGCTTGGCAGCAATG